AGCAAATAAGTCACCTGACTGCTGGCAGGGGTAAAACCATGCTCCTCCAACTCAATCTAAATCTTTATTTACCAATACCAAGGTCACAAAAACTACAAAAGTTCATTAAGTACGCCACACAGATATGTAGGGTTTGACTTTATAAGACATTTGCTAAATCAAATGATACTCAGCTACTTTGAAGACTAAGAAATAATACTTGTCCTGATTCACAGCCAACGCATATCCTATCCTTTGAAACGGCACTAGAAACAGGCATGTATTGCATTGGCAGCAACAAAACACGTTCGCCATCATAGGTGATCCAGCGCTTGTCGAGACTCAGGCCATAATGATAATCGTCAGGGTCCCCGGTACCAATCGTCACTTCCTTCAAATTTTCAGCAAGTGCTTGGGTTGCTTCGGGCTTCTGTGATGCAGGTTCAGTCGTGGACTTGATTTTGATATGTCCAATCTCAGTGCATAGCGAAGAACCACTGGCATCAAAAGATATACTTGAGAGTGGAGCGTCCACAGTAATCACTTGCAAGCAGGTCCCTCTTGCTACATCCCACAGCCTCAAGGTCTGGTCGTTCGAGGCGGATGCAATTTGGCGGTCATCAGGTGTGAAAGCGACTGCCCAGACAGATCCACTGTGACCGTGAAGTCTCTGCAAGCACTCACCACTTCTGTTAGAGATTGTGACAGTGCAATCAGCTGAGGCCGCGGCCAGAGACTGGTCGTCATGCGCAAATGATGTAGAGTAAACCGAGGCGGTGTGGTGACGCAAAACTTGCAAGCATTCTCCAGTGACAATTTCCCATATTCGAACCGTGCCATCGTCTGTACACGTTGCAAGCCACTGGCCGTTGTTCGAAAATGTTGTTGACCACGCTGAACCACCATACACGGCGTCCCAAATAGTGATGTTTCCATCGTCATCTCCCGCAGCGAGTTGATGTCCGTCACGAGAAAATGCAATAGAATTGATATCGCAGTTGGAGTCAGCAGCTACAAGCTCCTGGAGGCATTCGCCTGATCTCGTGCTCCAGATCTTGATTATTCCACCCTGATGGGCGGACAAGACTTGTTCCCCATTATGCGTAAATGTCAGTCCATAGATAGTTGCCGCTTCGTGACTCAGTGTTTTAAGGCATATTCCAGTTCTCACATCCCAGAGCTTCAGATAACCGAGACTAGAGCCACCGGCGACCAACCGCCCATCCTTGGAGAAAGCGACTGAATCAACGAGGCCATTGCGGAAATCGAGCTCCGAAGTTACTGTCAAATTTTGCGGGTTCAAGATCTTCAAGTTCATGGTCCCTACAGCAATTGCCGTATCATCGTGAGAGTAGGCAAGTGAACTTGGATAGCCCGCGGCTGAGATCGTTTGAATCGCTTGTCCCGTTGCAGTGTCCCAAATCATTATCTCGCCTAGGCGAGTGCCAGTAACAATGCGTTGACCGTCAGATGAATAACTCAGGCTCAGCAGTGCACTCTCGTGCTCTAAGGTCCGAATACAAGTGCCAGTCCTTGCGTTCCAAATTCTAACATTGTGGTCTATTGACGCTGTAGCAACGTAATCATTGCGCCAGAAGTCAACAACCCTAATACTTCCTTCGTGTCTGAGAACTTGGAGTAGCTCGCCCGTTGAAAACTTCCATACTTTTGCGTTGCCATCTGACGAGCCCGATGCAATCAGTTTACTGTTGTGCGAAAATGCGATAGACCATACTATATCGTCATGGCCCTTTATTGTTCTCAACTTTGAAAAGGCCCCATTACCATAGCCGTCAAGCGTTTGGATGCAGCTACCCGTAGGCACATGCCAAATCCTGACCGTATTGTCGTCAGAAGCTGAGGCTATCCGCTCGCCGTTTTTGGAAAAACTGAAAGACCAGATCCGATCATTGTGACCATGAAGTGTCCGAATGCATTTTCCTGTTGTTGAGTCCCAAATTTTGAGAGACTTGTCGTCGAATGCTGATACAGCTATGCCGCTGTCGTCTGGCGCGAAGGCTACGGACGTAGTCGCGCCGCCGTGAGATTCCTGAGATTCATGTATAGAAGACTCCATGTATGGTTGGGGTTGAACTATCCAGTGGGAGTCTTCGTGTTTGTATAGAGTTTTAATCAAGCTGGTGGCTGGACTGAACAGTAAAGCGGACATGTAGGTTTGAAGCGGAGCAAACCCTATAGTCTCCTTATTTCTCATAAGGAATTCATAGGCGCTGCATATGAGATTCTGCACCGGCGTTGGCAGAGCAGACTGTTTCTCAAGGAACGTCAGCATGTTCCCCCGTCATTCAGCAGTTCCCGAAAACACTCACAATAAAGCCCAGAAGCTTGTTCATTGCACATACGCCTTCTGTTACGCATCCAAGCAGGCTGAGGCATTCGAGCCAGTACAGGTATTTCTCCCGGAAAAATTTCACAACGCATCCATTGCTTTGCAGGCTGTCGTCGCAATACTTCAACACGGGTTGCCCTGAAGCTTCTAGGTGATCAATCCAGTAGATGCATGCGTATTTTGACCCGGCCAGCGGATCTGGATTTGGTCGTTGGACATTATGAGCGGTTACTGCTGGTTGCATGAGATGATACATATCTCTATGAAGGATACTATTCATGTGCTCAAGAGACTTGAAGAATATGCTCTCATGTGCATTAGTGAGCCATGGACCAAAGCTGCCGTCGGAAGCTTTCAGATTCTCGAGTAGGTAATTTCTTGCCGACGAATGAACAGAGTAGATTGTGCTGTTAAGAACAGTCACGAATGCGCTGCATTGCTGTACAGCCTGTGTTAGGCCATTCAGCTCATTGGGAGCTCCTCCAAAACTATCAATGTAAAGAGACAGCTCTAGCATGGTAATGGGTCTGTAAACAGTCGCTACCGTAGCGAGGATTTGTTTATAGAAATCTCCATCGTTCAACCTCTCGAGTCTCCGCATCATGTGTAAGTAGAAGGGTCGAAGACCAGGCGGGATCTCTCTCAGCTGAGCTAGGGCATCGCATTGTGGAATGCCCTCAAGACTCTGGCACACCAGTGCAATCCAAAGCACTCTTTCGCCTGCTTCATTGAGGTACTTGCGTATAGCACATTCTGTTTCGGTATCGTACTGGTTCCTCTTCGCCAGTTGTTGTACTCGTTGGCGCGTGTATGCGTTGATGGCTGCAGTGAGCTCCTCCCTAGGTTGGTCGAAGTTCAGTTGAATTACATCACCCGATTTCTGTACCCAAGTTTCTATATCTGGCACACTGTGACTTGAGATAACCCATTTTAGATTAGTTGCTACTGATATTGTCTGTCGAATCAAACGGAGAAGGTTTGATATGTCGCTGCATTCATCCACTGAATCAACCACGAACCAGATGCGACGCTTCCTCAACCCCGTATCCTGAAGCATGTTTCCAAGAACATCCATAAGCTTAATCATTGGATTGGTTTTTCTGGTCTGACGTTTATTTATGCGTTTACCGCGGATGTGTCTGACCAGTGATGGTTGCTGCTGCACCAGGGTGCGTATCAGGCCGCGCAGGATGGCGGCTGTGGAGTTTTTTCGTGAATCCGTACTTTGGCAAAAGAAGAAAGATGTAATGTCGCTTCTTTTGTCAACTTTACATAGCTCATCGAGTAAACCACACAGCTGTATAGTCTTGCCAGTTCCAGGGCTACCTTTGATCCAAAACAAAGACTTCGTTTTATCATCACGCAATTGCGTAAACTCTAGGCTTGTGGTGATCCAGCACTGTTTTTTCGAGAACCCACACATTTCGGTAAGGCGGAATTTGTCATGTTGCGGATCGCACGTCTCAGTCTTCCTTAAGAAATAGTCGTCCATCGCGTCGACTACATCTCCGTCGCGCGCATCTCGTCTGGAAATTGTCCGCGCCATGTGTTGTTCGTTGTATTATTTATCAAATCGACGCTACTCGTTTGTTTGTGAGGAGACAGTGAACTTGAGATAGAATTCGCATTCATTCAAGGCCATGCTATGTAAACGCTTGTAATTCATGGAGTCCAATGCTACCTTAGTGAGGGGAGGGGCAACCAGAGAATCACAGCCCCAAAGTTCAGCTGGGCGGACGGCAGCTCTGGCTTGGTGCCCAATCCGACCTTGCCTCTGCAAATTTCGCCGACAACTTTCCCGAGCCTTGCATAGCTGCGTGGACTTGGGTTTATCGCCCCCAAGTCATGTATCTTGAAGTATACCCAAGTATCAGTGAGTACAGGGATGGAAATCGGAAAGCTTTGATAGCGTTGCCCAATATTCCATCTGATACAGGATACTATAGGTGTGGTTTTCTCCTTGTATGATTGTGCTGGCCCGATTACCATGACTCTCGGTCGCGCGTAATGATTCTGCGCTTCTACAACTTGCTCACGTAGCCTTTCTGAGTTTTCTGATCGTACCGTGGCGCATAGGTTTTATTTTCCCCCCGTCTTTTGCTGGTGCTAATTGGCTTCATATACCGAGCCTTCAGATTCGCCGCCATCTGACAGATCACCCAACTGCAACATGCTAAACTCCTGACTACCCCATGGGAGCTCAGCCACGGAAACAAAACATGACTCATCGTCCTTGAAAGCTTCTTGAACTTTGTCTGCCAAAGATGAACTCGTGACTAGAAGCTTGACAGCAGCAAGGAGACAGTCATCTCTGGCGATGCGAAGTAGATTTGTGAGCACAGTCAACATGTTTGCCTCGTACTCATCATTCTCATAGTGTGCTATGCCATCTATAAGACACATAAGTGTGATTTCTGACGGCAGCTGCCTTACCAGCCAGTAAAACAACGCGCAAAGGGGTGCAATTTCGGCGGATTTTAGGCCTCTCCAATCGATTTCGCGATGTAAAGTGGTTGTGTCAAACGAGTGGTATCGCAAAAGCTGTACAATGAAACTCCGCATGATGGCGGCTCCACCAGTATATGCATCGTCCCTTTCAATATGAAGGCTGCAAAAGAAGACCAGTCCGATATATCGTGGCCGTCTTCTGAGAGCGTGTGTAAGGGTGGCACACAGCAACATCAATGCAGACGAAGCGTGAATATCATCTGCATCATCCCCTTGAACAAGTAATTCTCGTGAATTTGAGGTAACAATCCAATCACGAAATTGTGGGGTGGTAGTTACCAGTTCCATCCTGTTTCGGTATCTTGCAGGTGTGAGATCTCTGCTCTCCGTGATATGGTCCAGGTCGGTCTTGTCTATGTCCCCCATGACGAGTACTTCGTAAAGACCGTGATATATAGTATTGGGGGTCGGCCATGGCTGCATAGCAGCCTGCGCTCCCCAGACAGCTTGTATCTGCATAGACTCAGGAGACGTATAGGCCATCGACGTTGAAGGAATCCAGGAAAGTTGTAGCTGTTGATACGAGCTCGGCAGTAGTTGAATGGGTGCCTGCTGGACAGTATGAGGGGGTAACCAATGACCTTGTAGCGCCGGTTGTGGTGATGGAGTAAGTTGTCTTATTAAACGGTCTTGTTGTTCAGTCATCATATCGAGTCTCCCTATATATCTTGTTAACTTCACACTTTCGAAATTTGCATTCCGTCAGAGGTTATAGATCTTACCGAATACCTGCTCTCGGGTCCGTTCGTGTTCGTGGAGCAGTTTCTGAATATTGTTCAAAAGACGAGCCCCACTGTCTTTATTGAGGTTCATATCATCGATGATACTTTTAATGCCTTCGCTAGTCGTCTGCTGCATTGATTCAATTCGGCTATTACCTGAAGTAGTGTATTAATTAGTGGTGCTTCGATGCAAGAGTATCTTCTCTTTGTCAAGCGTGGTCCTTACTCTCTAGCACACTATTCATCGCGTGTCTCGTCGTTGCGATGTGAGAATTCATAGCTTGATGTATCAAATCATTGCTGCACTCGACGACTTCATTTATACTATCAAGTAGTGGTTCCTGATATTTCTCGCCCTGTATTACCGCAGAAAGACCTCGCGTAACTGATTTGTGTATGTTAATAGACATCTCGGCTAAAATGAAGCAAAATACAGAACAGGACGGCCTCACTTGTGTGCTTTACGTAGAACCCGATTGCGTCCTCTATTGCCTTCATGATAGCTACCACTAACCTTATAGAGGCTTTGTTGATACTCTCGTCCTTAGGGAATGTTGCAAGGAACACCTCAATATCGCCGAACATCCGTTCGAGACTCTTGTCATCTAGGCTTTTCGTAATTTTCTTTCTAGTAGCAGAAGCCATTTTGAACGCCTTGGGACTGTTAGCCAAGAATTTCCGCTGATGGGGACCATAAAAAATGTCATACATCTAAGAGAACCTCTACTGCAGCGCGGATTGGTGTCGTAAGTTCGCCTTCCGGGACGAATTTTGCCAGCCGGGTTGCCGAGGCAGCATGATCGGCAACTCCACGAGAAGCTCTCTTAACATTGCCCCAGAAACCCTTTTTATTTCCATCGTAGGTCTCTCGAGCTAGCTGAAGTTGTAAATAGATTGCGTTCCAATCCACAGCGTTTCTGATGTTGTAGGGTGATTGTGTTCGTCCCTTCGGTTCAGGAAAGCGTGCTTTGAACTCGCTCAATGAGTCGTTGTATAAGGCAGCCCAGAACTTCATTACCTCTCCTACTGCCGAAGGATCTGCTACGATCATACTTTGGTTTGTATCATTCCCTTCGGACCCATAATGCCGAATTGACGCTGCTGGTGTAATATTTGAAGTCATGATTGGTGAAATTGGAACGTAGCGCTTCAGGCTTGGATCGTATCGAGCCGAGTGACTTCTAAAGGCTTCATGGTACTTCGAGAGATGATTGTCAATGAAGTCTACTGATGGCGGCTGAAGACTGAGGATCGGAATGGCTCTTGGTGTAGATTCAGTGTCCATAAGTATTAGCTGCCAGTTAGCGATCAAGCACGTACATCATCACTTTCTTTAATGGAATTCAAGCTTGAACATATAAATGTGATGCTCCAATCGTGCGCGCGCACACATACACACACATAAGCATGCGAGATTCTGAGAAAATCGGGAGAAGGGCGGGCATGCATTTTCAACAAGAGGGGTGAGCTGCGCGCCTTGCAGTACACGAATGCTGTAGCTATACTTCCCGCAACATAGAGACTACTAACACCATCCCAAAGATCAGCACCTTTGTGACCAATACTTATGCGCTACAGCGCCACATCCCCTGCAAGTTGCTGACCAAGCTCATGAATAAGTGTTGAACAGCAGTATCATGCAGGAGAAATCTACACTTCCCAGAATTGCACTTTGAGAAACCAAAGCTGCGATTTGTCCAACAAATAGCTCATGTAAATGCGTGCAAACCGTGGAGGAATTTGGTTCTAGCCTCAGGTATGCCTGCATAAGTTATGCTGCAGCTATAGTACAAACCCAACAGAGCAATAAATAGCTGAACGGCTAAGGTATCTACTCCAGAGCCGCGTTGTGGTTGCCTCAAGTTCTTCCCTCCAGTCCACCGACTTAAGGAATGCTCAATATTTTCTAGAGCAACAGAGATCGTCCTCTTCCTTGTTGCACCGCAAGCAATCGGATCATGGATGCCGCGCATGATGTTCCCGTTTTAATTAGTCCCGAATTAAAAGCAGAATCGGGTGATCATCAAGACGAAGGCAGAGATAAAGCCAAAAATGCCACAACAGAAGACGCCAGTTGCGAGGAAAGGCCCGGAGATGAGTCTAATGAGAGCAAGAATGATCAGCAAAAGACGGCAGCCGGGCCCATGGACTTGGAATCAGAGATCCATGACTTGAAAGCAAAGCTGGCCGAGCTAGTTACTAGCCAGGACCAAGTAAAGGAAAGAGACTACGATGATCCTTTCACGATGCTCGCCGAGCACAAGTTTGACTTACAGCGTCGCCGCTACAGCGAAGACTCTTCCGACTCCGACTCCGACTCCGATGACTATACGCAATTCGATCACCGCAGAAGACGAATGGAGCGTGTTCTTGTGCGAGAACTTAAAGACTTGAGGCGAGAAAAAGAGATGATCAAGGACATTAGGTTGCTACGAAAAGATCGCGATACCCTCGTTGAGAAAGAGCGCGAATGGAGAAGGAACGCCGTAAACTCGAAAGGGTTCGAAAGCAGCTAAAGAAGGGAGCTTATCTTAGCAGAGTTGAAGTGGCTGGTCTAGAACACACAGAAGAGAGTGTGAAAGCCATAGAGATAGATGGAGCACCTCCGCCATCAGGGGGACTGGAGGAAGGCGAAGACACGATCCATACTCCCCCTACATTCTCCACGCCGAGGCTCAATTACGTCGACTGGTCAACATTCAAGGCACTTCGGGAGGATGCGCAAGAAGATTCCTGTGCTATTGATGTATTGAGGGGCGAACCGGTGATCACTTTCGACCATACCAATTACTGGTTCAAGAAAAAATCCGACCGTGGCCGCGGCAAAGGAGATGAATTGGGAAAAGGCAAGCCAACCTTGAACATCAAGAAGAAACAAGCCCTACTTCCCGAACAGGCTCATCTACCTGAGAGAATACGTATTCATTCGAAACAGATTGTCAAGTTCTTGGACAAAGTAAGTGGGGAGAATTTATCCTCTAATGCCGACTCAGTTGTCATGATACGCCCATACAAGTTCTTGGTCTGCTATGAGGACCAAATCCGTCAAAGGTTTCAGAAGCTCCAGGCTAAATTCGGGGAGCATGGAGTTACTGCCCGCCTAGACGCTGCAGAGGCATCATCACATGCCGCAAATGAGCCCACCGAGGAACTTGCTACAACAATAGCTAATCAGGATCGTCTCGGTAATAGCGATGCAGGCCCAACCATAGATAAGCCCCGAGACTCTTATTTAGCGACCGAAGACAAAGTTGATGGAGACCTCGATGCAGATGAGAAATCGCCTACGGTGTATGAACAAGTGGGATGCTTGATAAAGTTCATGGACACCGAAATACGAAAGAAGCTAGAGTACTTGACAAGCAATAAGTGCGACAGAGTTCCCTTTACGGATTTGTGGTATCTGTTCAAGCCTGGGGACGAGGTGATTGATCAGAACCATAAGCAAGCCTACCGAGTCATCGAGGTTGCTAGTGTGAGCCATAAGGTCGTACCCCCATGGCAGAACTACTACGATGTATCTTCAGGAAAGTCAGACCAGACGCCAGTTTACATACACTGTGTTTATGTGGACTTCGATGGAAAGAACATCGGTCCTATAAGCAAGGTTTTCGAAATCCCACGCTATGACGGAGACAGAGCCGTTACTTCGCTCGACATCTATCCATTACGCTTTGCCGAAAGTGACAGAGTCCCCAATGGTTCATTCAGGCAGAAGCTTGTGGCCAGGGGAAGGATGTTTCTTGATGTGGCAGAGATTCGCCACATGCATTATGCTGGCCTGACTCTGGATGCAAGAGACGAAGTCGATAGCCAAGTAGTGGTGGACTTTGAGGAAGCCTTCGCAGCAAAAGGCAACGCGGAGTGGAGGCCAACTGTTGAAAGATTAATTGGAGCGTCAAAGATCGAAAAGGTTGCGAATGAGCCATGTGTTGCGGAGTGTTGTAGAGACGAAAACATTCATAAAGACACCGACGCAGAGACCCAGCGTAATCGAGACTATATTGCCAGTCTCATCCCAGAAGATCGCAACAAATACCCTTCGGTGGCTGTGTATCCCCGTACTTTGGGTGAAACAAAGTCTCCCGATAATGCACTCGTTGACGAAGAGCTCGTCATCATGTCATACCGTGTCTTTGGCTTTGTTCTTCGAAGCAGGAAATGGGGTGAGTAAATCTCATTCAGTGTTATCACTTCAAGATCCCTGAAATCTTCGCTCCTCACATTGAGTAGACAGTGAATCTAACTAAGTTCCGCACTTGCGGCATATAGCATTGCTCGACTTGACTTTTCTGAGTTCTATCAGCTTCAAAAACTCTCGTGAAAGTGTCAATCAACTAGTGAATGAAGAAGATCGACTAGAAGAACCCCCACAAAAGCAGGAAACAGCTTTCGATCAGTTGGTATTGCCAGAAGGTCACAAAAAGATGGTTTTATCCCTGATCGCACAACACTTTCGAGACAAGGAATCCGGCACAACAGACACTGAGCAAGTTGATATTGTTCGTGGCAAAGGTACATATTAAGTCCAGTGCTGATACGACATGCTTATTCTCTGTAGGAAAGGGCTTGATCCTCCTTTTACACGGCGCCCCTGGTGTGGGCAAAACAACTACAGCCGGTTAGTAAATTTTAACATCCGGTTGTACTACTGGTGTGATACTGATTGTGTCATGTGGTAGAGGGAGTGGCGGAGATGTTTCAGAAGCCTCTGTTTCAGATAACTTGTGGTCCGTTGTCCCCTAGCAGAGTTCAAATATTGTCAAGCTAATTTTCACGTGGTTCCATAGGCGACTTGGGGGTTACAGCCAAAGAGGTCGAGGAGACTCTCGAGAGAAACTTTACTCTGGCCAATAGGTGGGACTGCATTCTCCTCCTAGATGAAGCGGATGTGTTCCTCACCGCTCGGTCTCGAGATGACTTTGTTCGTAACGGATTAGTAGCAGGTTCGAAACACGTTATAACCTCAAAAATGTTGTGTCAAGCTAATACGAGAAGTATTCCTTCGTGTACTTGAGTACTATGCCGGTGTCTTGTTCCTCACTACCAATCGAATCGGCGACTTTGACGAGGCCTTTACTTCACGAATTCATATTAGCCTTTATTATCCGCCCCTCGACCTAAAATCAACAATAGAGGTCTTCAAGCTGAATCTAAAGTTGATTCGAAAACGATTCACTAACAAGAACCGCGAAATCAACATTGACGACGATAGCATACTGAAATTTGCTCAGGATTACTGGACAGACCATGAGAAGATACGGTGGAACGGACGGCAAATACGAAATGGATGTCAAACCGCCCTAGCCCTAGCGGAATTCGATGCCCAGGGTGGCAGCCACGAACGAGTCAAGGACGCCCATGCAGCAGTCAAATTACAGGTTGAACATCTGCAGATCGTGTCTGATGCTTACCGAGATTTTAATTTGTATCTTACTAAGCTGTATGGCAAGGACTCGGATAGGAGAGCAAAAGAGTCGCGTATTCGTGCCCGAGAGATGGACGCGATATTAAAGGATGACAGCAGCATCGGGAAAGATGGTTCACTGTTGAGTCATCAGCGCACCAGCTCATCACTCGGTGAAGCTGTTAGGCAGACCGAACCAAGTCCAGGACCAGCTTCAGCTCAGATGAATAACCCCACGCCATTGGTATCATCCGAACAATACCCCTATCCGATTTACTATCAACAACCACTCGGCCAGATGATGCATCCTTTGCAGCCTGGGCCAGGAAGCTTGAGACCACAGGCTGTCCATCAGACGACTGTACCAGCTCCGGGTCAGACTCAGGTCCCCTGGCAAGGCTTGGCTCCTGGCCCGTGGCAGAATATGCAACCACTGATCCCAGGACAAAACCAATACGGTAATCTTCAAGGGTTTGGGTGGGCTCCAGGGGCATCTCCGCAGGAGTCCGCGAGAGACCGGAATCCGCAAAATAATGCGTAGTTCATGCCTCTACGTACCGGAAACTAGGACTCTCATGAAGAAGCTTTCTAATGATGAACATTATACAATATCTAGCCCAGAAAGCGAGTATTAGCGGCAATATCTCAGGGCTCGATTGTCGCGTCTCTACCAGGGCTATTGGCCCAGGCGTCGAGTCGCTTTTGACGGGCAACCATCATCATGAATTGTGTGGAGGGGGCGGGGTTCTTCGTGTTTAGCATTATCTTGACCCCGTGTTTATTCGGGCCAGAAAATGATATCTTGTATCTTCGATTCTGGTTGCCTGGTTGGCGACTACGACGTGATGCACTTCTAGGGTTGGGTACTGGCATGATGTGTAGACAGTAAGCTACTCCTAAAGTGAAACAGCCGTCCCGGTGTCCATTGACTGCGTCCCGGAGTGAAACGGAGCATCTCCGATGACCCCGGGGAAAGTGGGGCCGTTGACTCCGAGGCACCCGCTTTCGGTCTAGGCTAGTTGACGCCTCCACAAAACGGTCACATACTTAAACTGTGTAAAAGAAATCATAGTGAGAGGTTTTGTCTTATAAAGCACCTGCGAGCCGAACGGTGCTGTTTTACTAGTCGCTGCAACCGACATTGACTATATAGACTTTTCTGTGTTGGCTTGACCAACATACTGACGTGCAAATCAAGCGAGTTTATCTCAAAGGTTTGCTCCACGATATATTGTATATTGTCTCTACCACATAATGATTGCTTTAGCACTGACTTGCTTATCAATAGACACCGACTATTGCAATGGCCCAACTACCTGACAATTCTCCCACAGCAGTCCTGCTCCGATTTTATGAAGCGGAGCGCCGCTATATGAGTGCTGGAGGTAAAGCTGGGGGTGCCTCGTTCGACGAATTCGCGGCAACCATGGCGCACGATGTGGTTCTTCACCAGAGTCCAGATCTCCCATGGGGAGGCGAGTACCATGGTGTTGAACGTTTTGCTGAATGGGGGGCCATGATGAGCGATTGCTTTCAAGAACTAGAAGTTCAAGACGCTCAATTTTTTGAAAATGGGAATCAAGTTGTCGTGAGGAATACTCTGGTCACCAAGTCAAGAAAAACTGGAGAAGTCATGAGGCGCCCCATGGTGCATGTTGTGACGGTGGTGGATGGGAAGATCAAGGAGTTCAGGCCCTTTTACTGGCATGTGCCTGACTATATTGCGGCTTATGAAGGAGAGGTTGCTAATCTAGATGCCGCCTATTAGTCGGTACTCCTATAACCTTAAAGACAAATCATTTACACCTCTAAATCTTTATTCATTACAACTCATGATTTCTCGTCTATTCAAGTCACACGTCTTATGTTAACTTTTTAGGCCAGTAATTTAGAATAAATAAAGAGTATCTACGGGGGTATGTAGATGATACCCTTTTTCAACTCGCGCTTTGAAGTAAATGCAACTAGAATGTTTTCACGCCAAACTACAACTAGCGATTAGAGAAGTGAAAGTATGTGCGACTCTTGCGAGATTCAAACTGCTTTCAATAATTATCCTAGTACGAGCGTCTCCTCTCGTGCTTCGTCCAGCCAAAGCCGACAGTTAGGTGTAACAATGACTTGACTCAGAATCGAACCACCATTATCCATGAAAGACATGTATGTAGGACCATGGTCGTAATGAACTCTCAGAAGTCCAGTTCTCTCATAATAATCTCCACAACGCTCCATGATCAGTATCCTTTGAGAACAAGGTCCGCTATATATTCTGTCTCTTTCCGAATGGATGATCAGACCTAGCGCACCTTGTCTCGGTGCTGCGTAATGGTCAGAAAAGACATAACAAAGAGCCACCAAATCTCTAGTCAGTTTCAATAAACAATGGTAGCCATTCTTGCGTACGGTAATGCATCTGTTGCCTGTGTAGTCATCGGGAGAGATCCTAGTGTGAATGACCGTCTTGGTTCCGCAGTTCACTTTGGCCCAATCCAAATATTGAAAAGAAAGATTGACGACAAGGCCTGTTACATGGATATGAGGTGAGTAAGGAATATCTTGAAAAGATCTTTTCTGTGATATTGTGGCTCTTATTAAATCCGAGATAGGGGCCGGGCGACCATCATTTCCGTGCAATTTGATCTTGCAGGTATCTTCTGTATTCCACAGAAAGTGCTTCGTTGCACAAAATGGTCCCATCCACCCCATCCAGCTCCAGCTGGGAAAGCCATCTCTTCTAATTGTGGGAGTAGTATGATGCCATGCCAGATTTATCCCATTGGAAGCCATTTCGTAACCGGTCCTAATTGGAACACCCCAATAATGATACATGGGAGAGTAGTAGCGCTCATAAGAGCGTAGGATCCCCCAGCAAGCATTCAAGATATCTGCATCGTAGGATAGATGTCGTGCAGCATATAATTCGATAAATTTACGCATACCTTCTGCTGGTGTCCAATTCGGCGCATAGTTGCCTTTGATGGTCCCGGCATGTGGGATTAAGGGGACGAAGGGTAGAAGGCCGTAGGCGTTGACCGACTCGGGGGGTTGCAAAACCGACTCGGCAAAATACCTGTCATTGCAAGCATATGCGACCTGATGGTCCGTAAAGATCAGTCTTCGCTTACTTAGGAAGCCTTCTTGAAAAGTCCAGCCACGAGAGGCCCAGGTGGACTTCCGTAAAGGGTGAGCTACATGGCCGAATATCTGGATAAGATGCACATCGTGGACCTTGACGCTTTTTTGCCGGACACGAGGACGGTAGCCAACGCCAGGAAGACCGTAGCCAGCATCGTGTCCAGCAGCTGCGATAAAAGTTATCTTGGATTTGGCGTAAATTTCATCCATACAGCGTATTTGCTGGTGCTTATCATGGCTATCTTGTTTGATACACTTCGAAACTGCAACATTAGAATTGCCAAATTCACGCAACTTTGAGAGTACTGACATAGCGATCAACCCAGAGGTAGCGGTAGCCTAAACACTTTGTTGCAACAATGCTATCTTCGATTACTGCGGGGACTTGATTCAGGCGTTCATCGTCCAGAAGCGCGCGGTTATGGTTGTTCGATGCTGCCCCTCCCCAAACATATGAAAGTGCAACATAATCGCATTCTGAGGGCGCTTGAATGACTTGCCGACTATTGCAGTCAATGACACGAAATCCGTCGGGAAGTGTTTTCTGCCGAGATTCGCATGGTTTCCCATGATTAACCTCACAGTACGAGATCCACTGACGAATGAGATCGTAGTTGAGTTTATGAGGGAGAACTTCGCGTGGCCCAATGTCATAGTTGGCGTCATTAATATTAGCTTCGAGGACCGCTACGAAACCCGTTTCTTGGCAAGCTGTATACGATTTTCCGGTCGGCGCGACTCCCATGACTGAACAGTCTTTGAAACCTTTACGGCGACGGCCAGAAGCTGCTGACAACGCCTTTGCACCAGAGTATAGTCTTAAGGAGCACCTAGCAGTATCCAGCGACGGTGGCTTTACTAGGGCGAGCAGTTGACACACTTCGCAACTAGATTGTAGCAGCTGAAGGTGAGAGTCTGGTACTCTGGCTACCAATTCCCCTTTCGAAGATTCGGGGCGTCGCTGCCTGAGATCGGCCCATGGTAATTTGATGCAACGCGCGCAAAGGCTGTAGGCAAGATCATCGGGTTCCCCTGCGACCCTTTTAGCAGGCGGTGGATTTTCAGGGCAGCTATCTCGACGTTTGGCTGAAGGCTTTCTGAGACTATTGTTCATGGTTCATTTCTTTACTTTATCCTGACTTTTATTGCTGATTGTTTCTGCGAAGAATAAGGTTGGAAGACGTGGACAGTGAACTCGAGATTGTCGCGCGTGGCCTGAGCAAGCCCGAGGAAGATTATTGACCAGCCAAAGTACATGTGCGATGCCAGCCACCGGAAAGCCATTTTTACACATGATGAGCCTAAACATGGCACCTGGGCAGACAAGGCTCCGAGGTCACCGATACTGCGAACCAATCATATAGAACCAGCATTTGCGGATTTCCCACCTGCTTTGCAGTTCCCAAACATTGAGTAAGAACCCTATAAGTTTTTAAAACAGGCAAAGCCATCGAGCAAGATAATCTAGTCCTCATTGCATACTAGAGGCGTTATCAGCTTATTCTGGACGTCCTCTGATAAGCGTTTTCGAGGTGGTGGAGGTATCAAAACTTCAAGCGAATGAGAACGCGTTTGAGTTTGACGTGTCTGTAGTGCCTGATGACCTACGGTGCATGCAGTGCACCTAAACCAAACCACCTCAATACGCGGGACTCCCTTCCTGACGCCTTGGATACCGATCTCTCATCTCTCATCGCCGACACTGACACAATGCCGAGAGCCAGTCAGGCGACGCCCAGCCAGCCGACGCTATCTCAGCCATTTCGTCTCACTCTAGAAATGCAACACCTGTGCCAGACGATTGCTGGATTGCTTCCAGACGAGCCCCAAGAGGATCAAAACTCGGAAAAGTTTTCTACAGTGCCGGTTTCCGGGGACGTTTTGAGTCACATGAGCCACTTACGAAGATGCCTGGTGAAGAATCGTGTTCAAGTTAGTTGGCTTATCTCTAATGCTGTGATACCAAATACCTTTGTGACTTGACTAAGTCAAGCTCTCAGCTTCTCTCAAAGGCAGAACGAGTCCAACCCGCAGTGCAGTATCTCTCAACTCAAGCTCATGTCCTCCGGTTTCATGGAGGTTGGTGCTCGCTTCGTGATATTGTACCCAGAGTGGACGATTGTATCTTGTTGATACCACTATCGTTTCCAAGCTCGATCAAAGCTATGATCTGGGAGGACGAAGGCCAGTCTCCTGGGGCAGATGTAACCTTACAACTGGATACTGCAATGATTATCGCGGGCAAGTGCAGACTCTGGTCAGGCATTCGGGATGATGGAAACACATCTACAGAGGCCACACCTGAATGCTTGCAGTGTATTGCCTTTTGCTTAGCTGGGATGTACTAGCTACTTAGTGAATGTGTTGCGGTGGCCAAGGTAGATGATTCCCAGTGTTAAGAGACTGGAATGCTGGAGACTCTGGTCCGTACACTTGAGTGATAACGAATTGTGGACTATACTAGATCGCCATGCGCCTGATTACAGCAGAAGATGAACCTAAACATAGATGATGCTCTGACGCAGCCTAATCCCACTAGAGAAACTCTATACACTTATCAGGAGGGTATATCGTTCTCATGCTACTATAATTACATGTATGTCCTAAGCGAAGCCAGAATCTACTGAACTTCAAGCGCCACTGGCAGCATCCTGAGGTTCTGTTTTCACCTCACTGACTGGTTGCTCTGCTGCAGCCTCTGCAGGCTCCGGTTGCGCCACAGCTGGTTCCGTCACAGCTGGAGCGGATTCTGTAGGAACCGAGCCAGCAGGCTCCTCAGACTCTGGCGGGGGTAAAGACGGCTGTGTAGGTGGCTGGCTCTCCTTTGCTTGACGGTCAAGCATGGCCTCCAGCCCACCGAGCAGGTCCGGGCCATCATCATCATCGTCAATCTTCTTAGGCTCTAGAGGAGGCGACGGAGGTGGTTGGGGAGGCTCGACTATCGGCTCTTGCCCAGGCATTGGCTCTTCCCGAGTCGGCATGGGAATATCTTCTGGTGCTGGCACTTCCGGCTCTGGAGCAGGTGGCTGCTCCAACGAGGCTAGCGCCACGGCGGGAGTCTCTTCTAACACTGGCGTGGCCTCCGCGGGGAGTTTCTCGTCCACATCACCAACGGCCGAGTTCAAGGTCTCTGTGAAATCCGCCTTTTGCTTGCTGTCGATAGACGCGGTTGCAGAGAAGGCCTCCTCAGCTACCGCTTCACTTTCCCGTTCGGGATTGGGCGCGTCTTGCATGACTTGCTCTTGTACAATTACTGGCTCGGAAATGCCAACCCCTACCACAGTAGTGTTCAAATCAATAGCGGAGACGGGCTCTGGGTCTTGTGTAGTTTCGGCTGTTGCTGTGAGCTGCTCAGATACAGCAGGCTGAGCAATCTCCAAGACCTCAGAAACGCTCGTTAACGTTGCTGGAGTCTCCTCTACAGCTGTATCTAGAGCGCCTGTTCCGTTTGGTGACAGGGCTGGCGACGGCTCCGTTGGTGAAGGCACGAGCACGTTCTTTAACGGACTGCCTTCAAGACGCGGCGATTGCAGGAGTGGTACCGCAAGGGGCGGCGCTAGGCCAGGAGATGTATCTGAAATGACACTCTTCGAGGCACTCAGATCTTCGTCGGATGACACCTCTCCCTCGACTGGCGGCACTGACGATTGGGATAGGGGATGGGTGATAGGTGGGGACGGCTCCTCCATCTCCTGATCTTGATCCTGATCCACACCACTGTCGACTTCGGGTGTGAGATCCTCTTGGTCATCATCACCACCCTCGTCGCCTTCGCCTTCACCCTCTTCACCTTCCTCGCCTTCATCGTCATCGCCCTCCTCGTCATCAAGCACAGAAGCATCCGCCATCTCACTATCCACATTCGTAGAAGCGTCATTATCACCCTCCTGTTTGATGGCCTGCGAGAGATTAGAATTGTTTCGACGTATGGCAGTTTGAAACTCACATCAGGTCCTGTAGCTTCACGCTTAATTTCCGCTGTCCCGTCGGTACCTGTGCCTCCTGGCAGTGGTGGTCGGGAAATGCTTGGGGCACCGATCTTTCGACCTCTGCCACGGCCACGCCCTAGCTTCGCTTTCCGTTTGGGTGGCGGTGGCCTTTTCTTCGCTGGTGTAGCCGCTTGTGATGCGACGTCTCCATTCGGGACTGCCGCGGCAGAAACGACCCTTGTTGAGATGATTTCACCATCGACTGGCTGTCCATCTGTGACGACCATCTCCTGAGTATAGGGATTTCCAGCCGCATCTATCCGTCGCACCGTTGCTCTTGTTACGGTAGGCCCGCCAATCTGCACTGCGACGGCCTTAGCGGCGAGTGTGATGGTGTTCTTGTGGCGCTTGGCTAGATGTGAAACGGTTGCACCTTCAATGTTCCTGGGCACCTGTTTCCACATCTTCACCTGGAAGCCATTGACCGCACCCTCGTCTTTTTTATCCGCTTTGTCGGCGCCGGCATCAGCATCAGGCTCATCATCCTCTGGGGCGGGCCTCTTGTAAAGTCGCCCTGAGCGGGCTGCTCGTAGCAATTCTTGACTGTGGGGAGCGAGGAGTTGATAGTCCTTCGGCATGCCATGCGGCAGCTCAACAGCCCATCGATCATTTTGTTGTGTTGTCTCTAGAGGTGGAGGAGGGGCGATGCTGACCCATTCTTGACGCCATTGTCGCACTGGTAGGCCTATCGGATTGAGGGTTAGTTTCTCATGATGGCCCTCGTCGCAGCTAGTGATGGAGGCCTGGTACCTTCAAAGTCATCATGTTCAGGGAATCCACTACGATTTCCTCGTCGCGTCTGGGTCGCCGTGCGGTACTAATTAGCGGGCAGGTCATTAGACCAGTGGTCACGATTGTGATCAACTGTTGCGTTTGAACTTACCCCTGGAGCCATCTTGAGAACCACTCAGATTTTCAATACAAACAGAATCAACACTGTCCCGGTTTAAGCACACTTCACTGAGTGGGTGGGCGACGATACGATGGATGCGCCAGAAAGTCGTCGCGAATGGAGCCGAGCTGATCAGACGAGGTGGTGACTAAGCTGGGGCGGAATCACCGACAGACCACTCAGAAATGCGCTGTCTTTCAAAAGCACTTTCAATAGTTCCAACATGGAATTATCACACGGCCTGTGCTAGATGCGGGCATTCGAAAACTTGCGACGTACTTGATGGCGCTCTGTTGCAATTGGATTTCCAGCCTTGTCGCGACGACCTGTCCGAATCTGGGCTAAACCTTGCATATCGCGTTTGAAGCATAGATTCTTTTAAAGCGATAGGAAAACAGAGCTAATCATCTATAGCAAAGATGCACCAAAGCATAGTAGATAACTCCGGCGCCCGACTCGGCTTTCGCAATGCATTTACGGGTGAGTGCGCCGACCGGGGCCGGGGAAAAGAATTCGGTATTTTCTTGAAATTGATGGACTATATGGGGGTTTCTGCGATAAACGCCTGTTGAAAGTCGAGTGGTTTGCTTTCGCATAGATCTATGTCATTTCTCCAGGATCCTCATTGTGGACCAAGGCTCATAATAGCCCCCAAAAGTATTGCACGCCCTCAAAGCTTCCCCTGCGCAGTGATGGTACGTGTCGCCAACGCCTTCCTCGCGCTCCTTTTAATGATACAGAACGGATGTCGTATTACACAAGCCTCTTAGGACCCCTGTATTGCTTCTGGTCTCGGCCATTTCCTGTCATCTCCTGCCTGCTGTGCTAGAATCGATTGCGGTGTTCAGTCCCAGCTATTGCCATTTGTCAGTCATGTAATGCACAACTCTTGAACAATTCTCCTTACCCAGTATCTTTCTGTCGGGCAATGTCGCCTTTGCCACCTTTTTGTTTGCCCTACTGCGCATTAGAAGGGGGTATGGCGCGAAAAGATGGTTACATACCGAGATACCTCCCTCGACCACAAGCTTGTCCATCTGGTAGAACTGACTAACGATGGTTTGTCTCTGTTCGCGAGTTAGCGACGGCCCGTCTGTACTAACTGCGAGCACCGTGATGTCGAAACTGTTGTGCTGCATTGCGAGACTAGAAGCATACCTTCATGCTCTGAAGCTCCTTCAACCCTTTCTGTATCAGTTCCTGTACTCGCCTCGGATCGTCGATGTCCTTGTTTTCGCGGAAAGCATCTCGTGTGCGCCTCTTCGCATATTCTCTGAAGTTGTAAGCAGAAAATTGCCCGCCTTGCCGTAATAATTGACGGTACTGCAGTGCAACAATCGTCAGCATACATATATAGCCTTGTGTCTGCCATGTCTGCACAAGGGCGTCTGCGTTGACACTCGGCTCTGCTAGAGCAAACCAGCCGAGCCGCGAAGCTCTCTGCAACTGCGCAAAATGGAATGAGAGAGAGGGTGAGACTCACTAATGAGCGGACCTGCTGCGCTGAATCGCCCTTCAGCGCTGGTGTGACCGACATCTTGAGTGGTGGGCGAGTATCGCACAGTTGTAGAAGGCTTTGAGAAACTTTGGGGAGCTGGTGTTTAGAAATCGCCAATGATGCAATAAGGCCGACATAAATTTCGCCAAGGCGGCCTGCGGATGGCAATTCGATTTCGGGATATTCGGTACGTACCACTCGGGCGAGCTCATGCATAAATCCGAGTTGCGCCAAATAAGCGCTGGCTGTGACCGAATCCCTTACGGGCACTGCCAGACGTGCAGGAGACCCCACAATTCCCAGCAAAGAAAGGGGTCTCTCGGCTCATTAGGTTGCTGGACATTCGGGCTTAGAACGCCAGAGCACATGTAGGCTACAATGTATAGGTCTTTCAGCGATTTCTCCTGGAAACTAACCGTCTACGTAGCTAATATACTTGTCCACATTCCCAGCCCAAAACACCGGACTTCGCTGCTATTGTAGTCTCCTAAAGAATTCCCTGTCGTTTGATGTACTGCATCAGTCATGTCGAGATAGCTCAAGCCCGTTACGCTGTTGAAACTCTTCTATCGCGTAACTTAATGGCAGGATATGTTCTTGAAGATTCCGCGCGCGATATTTTGTCTTTTCCTCATCATAAAATTCAAGTTGATCTGCATCAATAACGCCGTCTCCTTGATCTTCCCACTTAGGGACATGAATGCTCTCGCGGTGGGGTTGGAAATTTATTCCAGCACATTTTTCGGAGCAAAATAGTGACTCAACCTTCAGAGAGCTTGTGCACGTTTTGCACAAGACGGCCTCTGCCTCATCGGCATCCATATCGACGTCCTCATCATGAAGCTGAACGCAGTCTTCTCCGCTCGCACATTGGTGTGACTCTTCTGTATGTATTGACTGCAAATGTGTTAGGCCACGAATGCTTTGAAACCCTTCCGAGCGCCTCACCTGTCCCTCATCTCCGCATGCTGTCGAGCAGAATACCACGGGCACGTCCCGAATCTGTGCATCCACAAGCACTTCGCAAAGACCACAAGCAATAACTTCCGCTGGGTTTGGGACCTTTGAGCAGACGAAACACGGAGGGATATTGTAGAGCCAATCCGCTGGCTGAGGTCCTGCAGTGCTTGCGCCGCCTTTCTTCTTGGTCTTTTGTAATTCGTGTGCTGTCCTTGCTCTCCGTAGTTCACCCAACCTTCGCTTGTGCTTCTCTTCTTCGTCTTGAGCGGCCAGGCTGGCCTTTCTGTCCGAGAGAACCTGGCTCATGACAAATTCTAGCGACATGCCATCTCGCAAGCTTTCAAGGTATTTCTGATTTTTGGAGGATACCTCCTGATCGGGGCCGTCTTTGAAGAAAGCATTTGAGTAAACTTCATGGCGTTCTTCTGGTGTTTTAGTTGAGTTGAGTCTTGCCAAGATCTTTGAAACATCATCCGGACTTTGTTTAGAATCTTGATTCAGCGCATTGCGAATCTCTTTGACCAGATCTTCAAAGCCGCCGTTTCCGTTTCCAGTCCTTATCTTAGCCAACAAGCTGCGCTTCTCAAGGACATCCTCAAGAGCCTTCCGGATAACATTGTTGCTCTTCAGATCTTGTAGGTAGACCTGCTTCTTCTCGGCTTCAATGAGCGAGTCGATTGCCTCGAGATCGACCTTGTACTCCTTCGCACCAGCAAACATCTCCTTCAGGTCAGCGACCGAATCCTCCCTCCCAGGAAACCAGTCAAAGTCGGGGTTCTCAAGATAGAACATCCGTATCTTGTCCACGATTTGAGGATAGCAATCAGGGCACTCGGCAACATGTTGCTTGCCATGTTCAGCATCGCATGTCTTCTTGATCTGGCTGATGTCTGCGATGTATTTCTCGCGCAGATCCCGCGCGGCTGCGAGACGATCCCAAGTCTCCCTCATTCTGTTACTCGACTGGCCAAGCCCCATGTGAGTAATCGCCAGCGATATCAGTCCACCCGGCAATAAAAGGCCAGGCAACGGTGGCCAGCCCAGAACCTCGGAGTCCCTTTACGCTACTGCCAATGGCCGAAGTGTCGGGAGGATATTCCTTACTCCCTGGCTTATATGAAGTGCGCCAGCATATCCGCGTGTCTCTCAGGTGATAAGATGAGGCGGCTGGTCCAGCGTAGCCACGCGTGTTACGCCCGAACCCAGAGAATGTTTTACCCAGGCGCCCAACAGACCCAGTCAGATAGATGAAAGAGGATATATAAGCTAAATATACGGGGCTGAAAGCATTGAGTACCCAATTGTTCCTTCTGAAGGGAACGCGGTTGATGAGGTTGAAGGAGGTGAACGGCGGCAGAATAGCCAAACTCCGCTTCACCTAGGTGAGAGCAGATGTTTTCTTAGATAGCTCTCGGGACCTCGCGACAACATTCCACCGTCAACGCCGAGGACTGTTGCGTATCGATCAACATGGTGAGTAGACTTCTTGATTTGTCTGACTCCTGCAGTAGTTTGCTAACCCTACACAGGCGGACAAGCTCCGCACACAACAAGAGCTCGAGCGCCTCCAGGCCAAGTTCATTGGCACTGGCCACCCTGATACGACCAGTTGGGAATGGAAGACGAACATCCACCGTGACACCTACGCCAGCATTGTAGGACACCCTCCGATGCTAGCATATACCGCTCTTGCGCAGAATGAGCCCATGGCAAAAATTCGCGCGCAGCTGATCCGCGTAAGTCTGGAGATTCTACTTGTCAGGACCAAACTAACGTTTTGCGCCACAGAAAATGGTTCAGCCAGCAGGACCGCCGCCGCCCCGCGAGGGTGAAGAGCCTCGAGCGATACGACAGGAGGAGGGAGCATGAACGGTAGACCGAACGTAACGGTATCACGACGCCCACACGGCGTACAAGTCCGCGCATCGTAGGAATGCGCCATCGAAATTTCAGGACCCTCCGGTATCAGCGGTGCAGGAGACTGGACAGAAGATCAAGTCAACGTTAGCATAGCTACAGTCACCAGATAGTATGAGCACCAAGAGGAAGGAAGCCGTCGAAGCGCGAGGAGGAGTGAAAGCGGCGAGGAGGGCAAGGAAGTTACCCTGGGTCTATACGATTAATAGGTCTCGCGACAAAGCCATAATGATACCATAAACTCCAAATCCACCAGCTTCCCAAGCTACTTTTAATCATCGTAGTCATCATTTGCCGCTGTCCGTCTTGATCTCCTTCTCGATCCACCATTTACCGGTGTGTCGTTGGCGGCGCCATCTTGCTCAACGGCCTCTTCTTCTTGGTCATCTCCGGGCACCCTCTCCTTTATGCGAAGACTAGCCCGCAACTTAGCCTCCAGTTCATCACTCTCTTCACCATAGACAGCTCGGACAACGCCCGCAATCGCCTCAGGCGGGATCTCCTTCTTCCCTCTCGGGCCGACATACCACGTGGTGTTGTCATCTTCCCCGTTTTGCCTCGCATCTTTATCAGACATCTTCACGATATAGCCTTGTCTCTGTAGCTTGGCAAGGACGTCATCTGTCTTGTTGCTGTTGTGAACGTTCGTCTCGGTGTTCAGCATTCGAAGGTACTGCTTCAGCTTGGGGTGACTGAGCTCGCCGCCGTTCAGAGTGATGATAGACACGATCAGGGTGTAGAAGCCCGTATACGCCGCCTCGTCGTCGGCACTCTGAACTTTCGATGGCGCGATAATTCTGGCCGCTCGGTACTGTTCTGGAAGGGTAGACACGAGCATGTAGGCGTTCGAGGCTGCCGATTGTCCGCCCTGGCCAGCAGACTGTGATTTCACAGCTTCAAAGCAAAGTCAGCTGTTGGTTGGCTCGAGGTTGCAGTCTGTGCTCACCTTTTCTCTTCTCCTCTTTCGTGAGCTTATCTCTAGCTGGCAGCTCCACCATCTCCATGCCAAAAACTGCTCGTAGTTGTTTCTGCGCTCCCTCAAACACCTTCTTGAATGCCCTGCCTTGGTCGCCGAGTACTGCCCGCCGTTAGCAACTTTTGGGTCTAGAGGCGATCAGTGCGCGAGTACCTTTCTCCTTGATGCCTTCCCTCCTTATGGGTGTCCTGGAGTACTCGCACGCAAGCGCATATCTGACCAGCTTCTTCACCATCTGGTTCTGCTCTGAGTCGTCTCGTTGGACGCCATCTATATCTTGATCTTGGTCTTGTTCATCGTCGGATACCGGCGCTTCGCTATCCTCCGGCTCCGGCTCGCCCCGCCGTTGTCTTTGTCGTGGTCGTTGCTCGTGTTCTGACTGCTCGTCATCGTCAACCACCTGGCTGTGTCAGTTCTATGGAGCTTGTAGATCTGGGGATGCTCTTTCGCTTACTCGACGGGGTCGTCGCTGAAGGACCGGCATTATGACTGGTGATCAGATATCGTGGTGGAAGACTCTAGAACCGTCATAGTATCAAGACTTGCGAGGATCACCAAGAAGTGCCAGATTCACACAGGATATGTCTTTTGGGGATTGCCGATCAGGAGGGTATTAAGCTGGGAGACGCGATGGAGGGGCACTTTAAGACGCGTTTCGGTGCACGGATCCGTTTTTTAGGCTGCCCGCCAGGAAATTTTGTAGCTCGCACCCGGGTAATAAACGTTGATTCTTAAATAGTAAAGATACTCAACATTGTGAGTCGTAATACTCATCAAGCTCTTGAATATGCTGTTTATTACTATAGGTCTATTAAATCTACAAAGGTGCTGATCCTCTGTTAAGGAGGTAGTCATACCCTTGCCGAACTAACAATTATCACCCTGGTGGAGGAGTAATTCGTCAATGCTTTTGACATTGAACCTTTGCAAGCTACCACAGCAGCCTGGGCATGATGAATAGATGCCAATAGAGCGGTTCTTTTGCCTCAATGTTTGTTACAAGGGCAAGGAGTGGCCCAATTTGCCTCCGGTGTCGACTGCACCTCGCTCGGACTGCATTTCGCCCTACCTCAATTGTGCCCCAGCGACAACTTCATACAGACCACGACGCGTCCGAGGCAGCGGTAGAGAGGCAGGAGAATGGGAGGCTTCCGCAACGGTCGCCGAGGTCACCGCGACCGAAGCAAATATTCAAGAACAAGGGAAGCAGAGTTTTTATGAAAGCAGAGGAGCTCGGAACGGGCATACTGGGAAAGCCCGCGCAGGCTATCGTGATGAAAAATGGCGGCCGTATTCAGCGAAAAGAGTTCCCCGTTGACGAGGACTTGACCGTTCCCGTCGAGCATGTCGATCTCGGGGCTATCCTAGAGAAGGAGGGTAGCAGTCCAGAGCTAGACGAGGTGCTCCAAAACATCGAAGAGCTCAAACCGGAGCATTTGACAGTATCCTCCCGCGAATTCGACAAACTAAAAAAGGTTCTGCTTCATGGCTTCACGGCTACCCAGCTGGCTAGCTACATCAGAAGATACGAGCTTCTTAATAACCACGAGATTGATGGCAGTCTTGTCGATCTTCCCACAGCCGCTCAACCGCAATACGAGGATGTATACCCCTGGATTGTCTCGCGAAGTCAATGGCTACCGGAAGTGCGTAAGGGCGAAGAAGCCATCGAAGCTGGCTTGAGAGGTTATCTTTTGGAAGCAATGACTCCAAAGGAGAAGTTGGTCGTTCGATTGATGCGCCAATACTGGGAACTTTCTATTCTAGAAATCATGGCCGGAGAGGGATATCTAGATGTCCAGATTCGGGAACCAGAATTTTCCCTGTTGACCCGTAAGTCTCCCATCCCCTTTCTACTCTTTAGAACCACTCTCAGCCCGCAATACGAAACTAATGATGGATGTCTACAGTCGGCACTCAACAATGGCTTCGAGAAATAGCTCGCCGTCTGCTCGGCCCAGGCAGACAAATCGAGATCATACCTTCCGAAGCGGCTATCCGGATAGTTGCCCCGAAAGCGATCGCTGAAACAGTACTGGCCGAGATCAATGGCACCCTCCAGAATGTCCAGTCGAGGATAGTTGACATCCACTCTATATCCTCCTCTCCTCTCGATCCAACTCTCCTAACAGAAGTTGCACGGCTGACGAACTCTGTTATTACCCCCCTCGAATCCAGAGAAAATATCCGCATCACATGGGTGAACAGTGATGACGGGAGGCCAGAGCTGGAGAACCTTGGCGACAGAGTCTTTCGGCTACTCCTGACCTCACACCAGCACCAGTCTGTAGCCAATAAGCTACTTGTACATCCTGCTCAGCATGAATCTGCGAGACTTGTCGCTGAATATGGAGGCAAGGAGAAGCTGACTTGGAGCGATAGGCTGCACACATGGGCTCGGTGGACTGCAGCAAGTCCCGCCAAGGGCGCAGCGACACCATCTAAGAAGAATGCATCACAGAGCGAAGATGCGGTCACGTCAAGTGTCATGTCAAGTGATGACTTCACGCGACAACTTGCAGAGGCTCTTGACAAGGACCAAGATGTGTCCCACCTCAAGGGAGCACAGTCTTCATCACCCATAGCACCTCTCTTGAATATGCAAGTCGATCATCCGCTACCAGGAGACGAGCCCGCCCCAATATCCCGTGGCTGGTCCCCGGAGACGACCAAAACCACCGCCGTCTTCGGTCATCTCCTTCACCAACAACCTGGCGGAAGCAAGCAAATAATTCTAAAGGCGCCGATCAATCAGGGTGCTCACAGGATCCTATCACCCGCCCTGCCGCCTCTGTTCAAACTAGAACTCCCAGGCAAGATCCGGCCCACCTACCTCGACTCGACGATCCTCATGCGGTTTCTCCCCGTACTGAAGCAAGACGCGGGCAATCCAAGCCAACAGGCCCCATCTCTAGAACTCGCCATCAACGTCCGCGAGCCACGCATCGAAGAGGGCTACATCAGTGGCATCTCCCATCTTCGAGCCATCAAGAGCTCACAAATCACCGACGTGAGCCTGCCCGACCAGCCCGTCGACTTCCGCCTCACGCAGAGCCTCGCGGCGGAGCTCCTCGGCGACGCAATGTTCAACGCACCAGGCCTGTCCTCCCTGCAGGCCTTCCTCACAAAGTCGCGCCTGGAGCCGCAGAACGGGAAGCTGGAGACGCCCGCTCGCCTCTCGGGGGTGGCTCTGCCCCGACGACTGTTCTCGCCCGCGCAAGACCAAGCCGCCGAGCAAGAAGGCGTCAACACGTCGGCAGACGAGCTCGTCGAGGCGGACTACATCTTCGCGGGCCTGGAGGTGCGGCGCGCGCTGGAGACGACGCTCGACGGCTGGAAGCTGGTCTACACGAGCATCGAGGCCGGGCAGGGCGGCGGACAGCGCGCGGAGCTGAGCCTCGAGGCGACGCCAGGTTGGGACTGGGACTTGGCTAGGAAGGCGGGTGATGTTAGCGGCGACGCATTCTTGGACTCGGCGTACAAGATGGCTGAGGGCAAGCTTCTATCCTGGGCCGAGTCAGAATGAAAGTTCGTCAAGTTGGGCAAGTAATGTGTACAGCAGCATAGCAAGATGTAAATACTGTATGATAGGCATGTAATACTTATATAACATAGATCAATACCCATCTTGTCTTGTCATTCCTACGAGGACCATTTCACGGAGCAGCAGAGCACATGTCACAATTCTTGTCAGGAAAGTATTAGGAAAGAACCTCAGATTGGGGATCACGTCTAAGAGAACTCTATTTTCTGTACTAAAGCACACGATGAGAAGTTTTGATTCGCAGAAATCCCAGACCCTTTCCTCTCATTGTATGTGCCCCAAGACTGAAATTGCCGAGAACTCGTGATGCAAAAGCAAAGGGAAGATTCGTGTCGATGTGATCGTGCTGTACTTGCATACAGGTGGTGATGAGGCGAAATAATTGACCGGCTGGCCCATCATGGAGGGATGAGTAGGTGTTGGCAAGTTGCTTATTTCTTGCCAGCCTTGGCAGCGGACTTGGTGACCTTGCCACTACCACCAACGGACTTGTCGACGGCCTTGATGACACCGACAGCGACGGTCTGACGCATGTCACGGACGGCGAAACGACCCAGAGGAGGGTAGTCAGTGAAAGCCTCAACGCACATGGGCTTGGACGGAATCATCTTGACGATGGCAGCGTCACCAGACTTGATGAACTTGGGGTTGCTCTCAACAGACTTTCCGGTACGGCGGTCAATCTTCTCCTGGATCTCGGCAAACTTGCAGGCAATGTGGGCAGTGTGGCAGTCAAGAACCGGGGCGTATCCAGCACCGACCTGACCAGGGTGGTTCAGGACGATGACCTGGGCGGTGAAGCTGGCGGCACCAGCAGGGGGGTCGTTCTTGGAGTCACCAGCGACGTTGCCACGACGAATCTCCTTGACGGAGACGTTCTTCACGTTGAAGCCGACGTTGTCACCGGGGACACCCTCAGTAAGCTGCTCGTGGTGCATCTCGACGGACTTGACTTCAGTGGTGACGTTGGCGGGGGCGAAGGTAACGACCATACCGGGCTTGAGGATACCAGTCTCGATACGGCCGACGGGCACAGTTCCAATACCGCCGATCTTGTAGACATCCTGGAGAGGGAGACGGAGGGGCTTGTCGGTGGGACGCTTGGGCAGGTCGATGGCGTCGATGGCCTCGAGGAGGGTCTTGCCGGTGACCTCACCACCCTTGGTCTCCTTCTTCCAGCCCTTGTACCAGGGGCAGTTGGTGGAGGCAGTCAACATGTTGTCGCCGTTGAAGCCGGAGATGGGGACGAAGGCAACAGTCTTGGGGTTGTAGCCGACCTTCTTGATGAAGTTGGAGGTCTCCTTGATGATCTCGAGGTAACGCTCCTCGGACCACTTGGTGGTGTCCATCTTGTTGATGGCGACAATGAGCTGCTTGACACCCAGGGTGTAGGCGAGCAGAGCGTGCTCACGAGTCTGGCCATCCTTGGAGATACCAGCCTCGAACTCACCAGTACCAGCGGCAATGATGAGAATGGCGCAGTCGGCCTGGGAAGTACCAGTAATCATGTTCTTGATGAAGTCACGGTGACCGGGGGCATCTGCGCGATAGCACGGACGTTAGCATGGGTTCTTCCATGTGCAGATAGGCGGTGGGCGGGGCCAGCAGTAGCCTGCCCGTCTTGCGATGCAGGGCAGGCCTGTATGCACGACATCGCCCCGCGAAGAGGGTTGGGACCTACCAATGACGGTGACATAGTACTTGGGGGTCTCGAACTTCCAGAGGGCGATATCAATGGTGATACCACGCTCACGCTCGGCCTTGAGCTTGTCAAGAACCCAGGCATACTTGAAGGAACCCTTGCCCAACTCAGCGGCTTCCTGTTTTGCAGTGCATTAGCAAATTGCTGCTCTCCCGTTTGTCGTACGTTGCTGCGGTAGGAGAAAAGTGGTCCGTGCGCAGGCAAGGAAAATTTTTGTGCAGTGGGGGTTTGTTGCCCCGCCACGATAACAATCAGAGAGCGGGGCACAAAATTCGATTTCATCGCCAGGCTGGCCATGAAACAGACAGGATAGATAGAGTGCAGACAGAGGGTAGATTGCAATCAAGGGAGTCAAGACTAACCTTCTCGAACTTCTCGATGGTACGCTTGTCGATACCACCGCACTGGTAGATCAAGTGACCGGTCTTGGATAGCGAAAGTCAGCATCGTGTCCGTAAGATAGCAGCGGTTATCACCCCGCCTCGAGGGTGAGACGTATGGATAGTGTCACCGTTGCGCGACGACGGGTTCAACTTACAGTGGTCGACTTGCCAGAGTCGACGTGGCCGATGACGACGACGTTGATGTGAGCCTTATCCTCCTTACTGATGATGAGTTAGCAAGACGATCGATGGATACAGCGGCGCGGCTGGCTGAGATGTCGGCGATGAGGCTGCTGCTCTCACGATACCGAGGCTGTTTGGCTGGGCATCGTAGTCGCAGGCATCTCGCCGGCCACCAGCTGCCGCGATCGCGATCAGAAAGAGCTTACCCCATGTTGGCGGTTGTTTGTTTGAGAGAACTGTGTGATTGATGGACTGCGAATGTGCAGAATGGAAGTTTGCAGATATCTGTGCCGTTGACAGAAGGTATGCAGGACAAGGAGAAAAAGAGGGAAAAGGTTTGAAATCGGGAGCGGGCCAGAAAGAATTTATTCGGACGGACGAGGAGGGCAGGAGGGGTAGTGTGCAGTGGGCTGTGGTAGGAGGGGGGGCCTTAGTCGCCCTCTGTGCTCATAGAGGGGCAAAAACAAGAAGGAGTGGGGCAATTTGAATTTTTGCAGGCTGGCACCTGGCTGCCACTGGATCTTATCCCCCTCCTCCACACCTACATGCCACCTACCACGACGGTGCATCACTGCGTTTACTCTGCCGCATGTTGCCGCTGGGATATCTCAAGCGTCCAATCTCTACGCCGGCATTGACATGTACATGTATCTCGATATCTTGATCAAGTATCCTTTTGATGGCTTCGAGCTAGCTTTTCCGCCAACATCTAGATACTCAACCTTATGCCCTTGCTTATCAAACAAATAGACCCCTCATGACGTCTGTCGTTGAGCCGTCCTCGAACGTCACAGAATGACTTGAGGAGCAACTCCTTCGGTCCAGCCGAAACGGGCTATCTCTAGACTACCGGTATCCTAGCAACCTGACTCTGAATAACTGCTTCGCGGCTATGCTGCACATTGCATCTCTCCGTGTTTCATGTCTCACGGTACTCCCTCCTTGATAGGAATTACTCCCAGATGGCAGACGGCACAATGGCGGTAAGGCCTTTGGGCAGACCTTGACCCTTGGTTCCAGCCCAACCATCCACCAGATCTCACAGCCTGGCGCCGCCCAGGTTTCTCTTTTCTTACCGGCGTGAGTCAGGATTGGGCAAAGCTCCCACGGAGAGCCTTGCCATCTCATGCGAGCTCTTCACGACGTTTTTTTCTTCGCAGCTGTGCCGCTACTGCCTGTGGTGCCACTGCGTGCTCTAGCTCCCATGAAAGCTTTTGTTAGTTTGGAATATGCCTGGTGGACAGGCCTCTTAGCTAGGGCCTGTCTCCCAGCAACCTGGCCATTTGAGCTATCCACAGATCAAATTTGTGGCGGTCGGTATTCTAGCCGTGTGGAGCGTGGCAAGATCTGCGCCGTCTAAAGTCCGCAGAACAGCAGACTACGGCACTGGGTGACATCAATCCTGAAGTAACCGCAAATCATTCGAGTTTCTACTTGTGGAAGCAAGGGGTCAATCAATCACGATCCTCTAAACACCGCCCAATACTCGTTTGATTATGCTTGGATGCTCTATCTAGGACTCACTTGAAAGGTCTTCGTTTTCACTTGTATCTAGAGAAAATCGAATGCGGAGTGGTAGAAGTAGATTTCCCCAACCCATCTGCCCCCCAAATTGAATTACCGCACCATACTTGTAGTTGCCCCTTGCCATATCGACTTCTAGCCACCACTGGGACTTCAAGCTATCAAGAGTCATCCACTTCCCCGGATGACACTTGAAGTTCATTCCGGAATGTTCTTTGCTTCTTTTGCCTTCTTATCGTGGTAGCTGGCCCAAGAAGCTGCTTGTCGTCGTTCATCAGCCGCTACAAGCCGGTGGCACACTAGACCTCCCCAGATCACATGTTATTTCAAGCAGACGCTACAACATGTAATAAACAAATGAGTCCAAACCAGGGGCAACAATGCTTCGAACTATCGGGAGTGACGATGAATCCGGCCATGACTCCGCGAGTGATTCGCTTTCCGGACGGCATTCGAGCAAAATCAGAACATAAGGTTGTTACAAGATGACAGGTCTTATCAAGATATTGGGAATGGTAAGGCTAGCTCTGTTACATATGAGTGGACGAAAGCACTATCAAGTCACTCTAACTTTGCATTACTGATGCCTGAGATTCTCATATAATCCTAACATCGAGCATGGCCTCAGTTTTCACGATATGAAAGTGGCTCAATGTGACAAGATATGCGTATTGATTTTTCAGTTGATTCAAACGCCATATGATCCATAAGCCATCGGCATATCATCTCAATCATGATGACTGATGTCTCGAGCTGGCGAGCTGCGTGCTCACAATCGCTCCTATTTGTTACATTATCTAGTCCTTCTGACAACTTTGAAGGTATCCTCGCATACAGTCTACTCCCATTCTCCTTGAATGTACCCTTTCATTTACGATGCTGCAGAGACGGTGAAATCAATCACCTCCCCATTTGACTGCCTGCCCATGCTTGTTCTTCAGCTCCCCCTCCTTCGTAGTACCAAGATCGATTCCTTCAGCTTCGGTGGGATTATTCGTAGCCCAGATCCTATCGATGGACAGGTCAAATGGTCCGGGTATACGGTCTGTCAGGCCAATGCCGATTGTTCGGACTTTCTGTCGCAGGAGCTCTGTCTGCGGCTCCACGACGAAGCCATGGTTTGTTCTCACAAAGTCATTCCACTTGATGAGAACCGTCTCCCACTCTCCCGGCCGTTTGCTGAAGAGCCG